TTTATTTATTTATTCATGAGAGACAGAGAGAGAGAGGCAGAGGGAGAAGCAGGCTCCCAAGGAGCAGGGAGCCCGATGTGGGACTCGATCCCAGGACTCTGGGATCATGACCTGAGCCGAAGGCAGACGCTTAACCATCTGAGCCACCCAGGCGCCCCTGCCTCCCTCTTAAAAGGACACTTGTGGTTGCATTTAGGGCCCACTCAGATTACCCAGATAATCTCTCCCTGTCTCTAGACCCTTAACTTAATCACATATACAAAGTTTCCTTTGCCATCCGTATACAACAACATTCACAAATTTGAGGGATTAAGATTTGGATATCTTTGGGGGCCATTATTCAGCCTACCACAGTCTCAAAGTTATCTGTCCAGAATACAGAATAAATATAAAGAGAAGAGAACCCTGACAGACACTTGAACCAAGTGATCAAAGTTAACATCATTAACAATACATATCAACATCATGTACTCCCCTTTGCTATTCTTCCAAAAATTCATGATCTCATTCCAATCATTAGAAAACATTAGACAAATCCAAAGTTAGAAGCATTCTAAAAAATATGTGACCAACGCTCTTCAAAGTTTAAAAGTCATGGAAGATAATGTCATAGAGGGAAGACTAAGAAAACACGGTGACTAAATGCAATGTGGGATCCTGCACTGGATTCAAGAACAGAAAAAGAACATGAGTGGAAAAACTGATGAAATCCAAATAAACCCTACAGTGTAGTTAATAATATTATACTGATGTTAAAATCTTAGTTTTGAAAGTATTATGTGGTTATATAAGATGTCAGCATAAGGTGAAGCTGGGTGTGGGCTATACAGGAACTCTGTACTATTTCTGTAACTCATATGTAAGTCTAAAATTATCTGAAAACAAAGTGTTAAAAAAGAGGAAGGAAGGAATGAAGGGAGGAAGATAGGGAGGGAGGAAGAGAAGAATGCAGGCCCACGGTTTAGGGTCTTTGAGTGCACCCTCCTGGTCACTAGTGTGAACTGCAGTGAAGTTCTCCTAAACTGGGTCTCTGATATTCTATAAAGCAATTGCCCTTCTCTTTTCTTTCCAATTATGTACCTGTTTGAGACGGTCTTCTCAAAGCCAGGCTATTCTGCTTCTACTGATGCATGGTTCATTTCTTCCTCTAAAGATCTATTAAGGGGATGGGACGCCTAGGTGGCTCAATCAGTTAAGCGTCTACCTTTGGCTCAGGTCATGATCCCAGGGTCCCAGGATCAGGCTCCCTGCTCAGCGGGGAGCCTGCTTCTCCCTCTGTCTGCCACTCCCACTGCCTGTGCTCTCTACCTCTCTCTGACAAATAATAAAATATTTTTAAAAAAAGAAGATTTCCTTTCTAAAAAAAAAAAAAAAATCCATCAAGCGGAGCCTGGGTGGCTCAATGAGTTAAGTGACTGACTTCGGTTCAGGTCATGATCTCAGGGTCCTGGGATCTCTCTCCCTGTCTCTAGACCCTTAACTTAATCACATATACAAAGAGGATTCATAACTAAAATAATAAAAGTGGAAAGAATATAAACCCTTCCAAGGCCAGGGCAAAGAAAATACAAGATGGGTCTGAAATATCTTGTGGTGCCAGAAAGTAAGGAAGTGCTTACAGGGGGAAAAAAAAAAAAAGGATGACAGCATGTCAAAGGGGCACAGGAGCCAAACCGAAAAAATTCCCAATTCCCAAAACTGGAGCAATTACAGCAACAAAATAAATAACAAATGAATTGGGTAATAACCCAAAGAATGAAATAAACAACCATGAGTCATAAGCCTATAATGACATAATTAAATAGGAAAAAAGGGACAATTCTTCCTTACAGAAAAATTCCAATTAATAAATGTCTTAGGAATGAGAGATTAAAAAATCAGAATTACGTGCCACAGAAATAATTGCTGCTGGCAAGATCTACTAATGAATGCAAAAATGAGTGGGTGAAAGTGTAAGCAGAAACAGGATGTTTACATTCTGTTGTAATATAGAGACATCTGGAGAGTAGTTTCCTGTGGCTACTATAACAAGTTAACACATATTTGGTGGCTTAAAACAACACAAATTTATTCTCTTACAGTTTTGGAGGCCAGATGTCCAAATTCAGTATCGCTGGGCCAAAACCAAGGTATCAGTAAGGCCATGCTCTCTCAGGAGGAGCTAGGAAACAATGTGTCTCCTCGCCTCTTCTAGAGCTGTGTTCTCTGGCTCATGGCCCCTTTTTCCACGTGTTAAGCCAGCAGCACAGCATCTTCAATTCTCTCTCTGCTTCTGTTGTCATACTGCCTTCTGCTTCTGTATGAAATCTCCCTCTGCCCTCTTTTTTTTTTTT